CAGCAGCCTGAACATGAAAGCGGAAGAAAAAGCGTACCAGAAACTGACAGCGAGACAATTCCGAAAAAAAAAAATTTAAAGACGATGAACAGTAGGTTCACCGGAAAAAAAAAATTCAAAGTTCCTTAGGCTCTTGATACCATGTTAAATAACAAGAAAAGAGAGGAACATTGAAATAATCTGTGTGTATTAATCTGGTGAGAGATGTACAATATATAGACAAACTAATGGGCTAAGCCCAAACCTAATATAATTAGACCTAATACAAAAAGCCTAATGAAATAAGGAAATCCTAATTACTATATAATTCTAATAGTGTGAATGTACTTGTTAATAAAGTTTGGAACTAAAGGTGTGTGTTTTTCATGAACTATATGTGGAAGATAGCTAGACAGAACATAGCGGAAGCGGACCAGTATATTTCATGGTGGGGAAAAATAGAATTTTTTATATTATAAATAAAAGCATTCACAGTAAAATATGAATCTAATATAAAAAGTTTAAAAAAATTTATATAAAAATCAAGGTCAATTCACTTAACTCTTGCTTTACACTTTTTTATATTGTTAAACTTTTTATAATTGAATTTGTGTTAAATATTCAAAGCAATTTCTTTTTTGTAAAATATTATAAATGTAAGCAAATGAGTTAAGAAATTTTTTCTATATGAACTAACAATTAATTTTTTTCACTATTCTTTCCAAAAAGTAAATACGAAATTAAGAAAGAGATTACTGTATTATTATTTTACATCAAGAAGCTATGAATCTAGTCAATAGTCGATATCAAATGATTGAAAAATATCAAGATATATATTTTTGTATTATTTTATTTTTTTCAAAACAAAAGTTGCTTTCCTTTAATTTAAAATAAAATAGAGTTAAGATTATAAACACAACCAAAATTTCCTACCTTGTTGCCGCAAACAAATTACAAATCAGTGTTTGTTGATTTGAAATGCAAGCACGAAGAGAAACCAGTTTTTTTTTTTTTTTTTTTTTTTTTTTTTTGGAGTTACCCAACCCTTATTATCTCTTTGAGACGAGTTGGCTCCCTCCGGTATCCCCACGAGCTTCGACTCTTTGAGCCGACTATGAGACTAATCCGGAGTGCGGGGGAACAGTGCGGAGCCAGTTTCTTAAGCAAAGGAAACAATAACTTTATCCCACTTTTATTCAAAGAAAAAAAAACAAATTAAGAGAAACAGAAGCCATGAAATGAGAGAAACAATGGCTAGTTGGGTGTAGGGATGTAAATAGGTTAAGCTTGACTTTGGTTTAAATAGGTTAGATCTGTATAAAAAAACTTTAGGCATGTTATCTTGTATACGTTCAAATTACAAGTTTGGCATAATTTATATTTAAAATATAAAAGTCTTGACCTAAGCGTATTAGCCTGTTCAAATTCATTAAACATTCAATAATTTAAAAATAACTAAAATAATATCACTTTATTATTTAAAATTATTAAAATAATAATATTATTATTATTATTTGAAATAAATAATATAATATTGACCCAACATATACAAAAAAGGTTATGGCCTACTTTTTAAATATGTTTTTTAAAAGTCCAAGCCTATTTTATTTGACTATTCTTAATAGGTCAAATCTGACCTAAAATATGCGAGACTCTAATTGGGTGAAAGATAGACTTTTCTTTAATTTGAAAGAGGAGCCAACTTTTAATCCTAATAGCCTATTAATATTATCAAAATATTATTATATATATATATATCAGAAAAATATTTATGCAATTAATGCAGATAAGTTGCATTTACTTTCAAAACGATATTGTTTTGGGATTGAAAGATTAAAAAATTATAATTATAAAGACTATAATAACTTTAAAATAAATTAAAATTACAAAATCACCATGATTTTCGTTCCAAAATGACGTTGTATTGAGCTTACCGTAAATAACTTATACGCAGTAACTGCAGGAAAAACAAACCGAATATATATTAATAAAATAATTCAAAATTTAGGGAAGTTGGATGACACACCCTAAACCTTTTTTGCTATGACCACCAACAAAATAACTTTAAAGGTCAAATTAGATTGAGGTACGAGTACGCGAAATTCAAACTATGCTCGTCAATTTTTTCATCCATTTTGTAACAAATTCACTGTAATAAAACATAAATCCAATAATAGGGAAGAAAAGTGAAAAACTATACCATTTGTCCAAGTGTGACTACGGGCAACTTTTGAGATATTTATTTGAATTTATATTAGTTTGAAACTTTCGAAAAGCTTGATTTAATTTTTTCTCCTTATGCCACATGTCTTCTTGAATTCTTTTCCGGTTTTCCCTCACTAACAGATTACATATCTAAAGAAATATCGTAAGTATGTATAAAAAAAAAAAGAAAAAAAAGAAAATCATAAGTAACTTTTCCATCCAATAAGAAATTGCCATTTTAGATTTTGGATAAGCTATATATGCTAAATGAACTGTAAAATGGGACACAGGTAAAACCGTAAAAATATCAAGTACAGCAAGTAGAGACAGAAATGCACTTGCCCCATTGCTAATATGCACTACTATAGTGTACATATGGATGAGAATGCTTGTGCAGTTGTACCACACAAAGTGACGTGGCCATTCTGTTTTGTGGTTTTTGTTTTTTTCATCCTTAAATTGAAGCAACTGTAAAGTAGAAACTCCCATAACATTATGTGTGCATTGATAGGTTAAAATTTTGAAGTTGCTCTGCTTACTAGTTTTTACTGTAAAAAATGCTTGTGTATGCCTTCATTTTTTTTGGGTACAAGTGTACCTTCATTTATATGTATATAAAATATTGAGAGATCTTTGAGTATCAACTAATTTAAAAAGTTTATACAAATACATATTTTATAAATTTGATTAATTAATTGCTTTAAATGATTATTTGACCTTTATATATAAACAATTAACCAGAGGGTGTTTTTTAATTTTATTTTTTTTAAAAACTCCTAATATTTTATTTTTGCTTTCTATTTTCCCTAGCTACTCACCCGAAATGAAATATCTTCTGCAGCTTTTCAAATCAATTATCCTTCAAAACCTCTTGATTTCTATCTTAGAGCATGTTTTGAGAACTTGGAAAATGAAATAATTTATTATTCTATAATTTATTAGAATAAAGAGTAACATTAATAAATATAAATTTAGAATAAGGATAAAAGTGAAAAATAAATATACAAACTTTAAAAAGTTAGTATATATCTTTAAAAAAATTTCTCTCGAGAGTTTTTAGCTTTTTCTGTTTGTTAATATATACAATGGTTGTTTTGAGGTTCGAATCTATAATCTTATGCCGATCGATCAGTCTAATAATAATTGGGCTGGATCATATATGGTTGAACCTAGTACTGTTGGAGATGATCTTAGTTGAGCAATATTTTGCGAGATGCTTAGGTTGTTGGTGAGATACTTTTTGGATTGGTTCAAAGGTGTTCAGGCAGTTTGAGAAGAATGGAGATGTACCTGCAAGACACTTCGATACTAAAGTCTATTCAAGTTCAAAATATTCAAATATTGATGGAAAGATGCTCATACCTGGGCTTAATGCCTCTAGTGGAGGGGTGTTTTGCTTATGACGCATTTGTATGTCGGTGTTCATTCTTATTGGTGGAGATTGGCAGGCTTCTCGGACAACGTTGTGGGCGAGATGTCTATTGTCATACTAAGCCCTTGTAGATGTCGCGACATGCAAGTGCTGTCCCTTTGGTAGTGACTCTTGTGGTGGTCAAGTTGTCCTGAGCAGCTGATCTCGCTAGGACCTCTTGTTTGAGCTGTTGGTTGTATGTGTTAGGAGGTTGCGAGATGCTTACGTTACACGTGATAAATGTGTTCTCTTATTTCCTAAGTAATGACCTTTTAGCTTATTGGACCTTCCTTTATTTGGATTTACCATAGTATGATTTGGATACAAACTACTCAAATCCCTCATCACTAGATTAATCCTAGTAATTTAGCCTTTTGCTTTTCTTATTCATTATAATAAATAATAAGATTATACTTACCATTATAGGCTTATCACTCTTACTACTTGTTAGTTATTGTTGAATCAATTTAAAATTAACAGTCGAAAAAGAAATCCAATAATAACCGAATAGGTAATAAAAATGATAAATTTAAAATGGTGCTAATCATAACCGACCTTATAATAAATTCTTTTTATACTAAGAGCTTTTGTAGAAATATATTTGTCTAAATATTTATTTATAAGGAGAAAATAACCTACAAAATAAAATTTGTAAACATGCATAATCTGAGGGTATAAAGTTTTTTGAATTTTGAAAAGGGAATATCATTTTTGCATCTGTGGTGAAAAAAAAAGTCTATCACATAAAGTAAAAATGGAGCGGGTTCATCATTTAATCAATTTTTCTCATTTTGATTTACTCTATATGGTAATTTTTTTTTTCTATAACATGCAGAAATGATATTCCCTTTTGAAAATACTAGACTAAATAATACAAACCATGAAAGGAAGCTACGACGTGTAAGACTACAACCTTCAAGTCCAGTATTGTAACAACTAACAATATTTCAATTCATGGAATTGCTCCCTCATTAAAATCGACCCACGTAACCATCATCCATGACTATATTCACAATTTGTCAGTCTTTATCATCTCTCTTGCTAACATTTGAGCATCTGTCCATTGCAGTCACTATCTTTTAAATTTGTGGTTCTCATACACCTGGGCACAACAAGACATCACATTCATGACATGAGGACCCAAATATATCTGACAGTGAAATGATAACCACAAAAAATATAAGAAATAGCTGAATTCACTCAAATATCTACTGGAATCCTGTAGTCATACGTGTAACACCCACATTGGTTACAAATAATATAAAGAATCTAACCCATTAGTGGATTAGGGGGTGACATTTGGCAACAACAAAATCTTGAACCCCCAATGAGATTTTAGCATTAGATAACATAAGATAAGAACACAACCTCTTCAAACCCAAATAAATACCCACCCAAGTTCACCATATCCTTCACCAACTTCTAAGCTTCACTCCTCATAGTAACATAAAAAACACACAAAGCTTCAACCTTTATTCTAACAATGGCTGCCTCTTCCATGGCTCTCTCCTCCCCATCCTTCGCCGGAAAGGCCGTGAAGCTTTCCCCATCAGCCCCAGAATTGGGTGGTGGCAGGGTCACCATGAGGAAGGCCGTGACCAAGCAAGTCTCCTCCGGAAGCCCATGGTACGGCCCAGACCGTGTCAAGTACTTGGGCCCTTTCTCCGGTGAGCCCCCATCCTACTTAACTGGTGAGTTCCCAGGTGACTACGGTTGGGACACTGCTGGGCTTTCTGCTGACCCAGAAACCTTCGCCAGGAACCGTGAGCTTGAGGTCATCCACTGCAGGTGGGCCATGCTTGGAGCCCTGGGCTGCGTCTTCCCAGAGCTCTTGGCCCGCAACGGTGTTAAATTCGGTGAGGCCGTTTGGTTCAAGGCTGGATCTCAGATCTTCAGTGAGGGTGGGCTTGACTATTTGGGCAACCCAAGCCTGATCCATGCTCAGAGCATCCTTGCCATATGGGCTACACAGGTTATCTTGATGGGTGCTGTTGAGGGTTACCGTATTGCTGGTGGGCCCCTTGGTGAGGTCACTGACCCAATCTACCCTGGTGGCAGCTTTGACCCATTGGGCCTTGCTGATGACCCAGAGGCTTTTGCTGAGTTGAAGGTGAAGGAGATCAAGAATGGGAGGTTGGCCATGTTCTCTATGTTTGGTTTCTTCGTTCAGGCCATTGTTACTGGAAAAGGCCCATTGGAGAACCTTGCTGACCACCTCGCTGACCCAGTCAACAACAATGCCTGGGCCTTCGCCACCAACTTTGTCCCCGGAAAGTGAGCATGAAAAAAAAGAAAAACACGAGAAATGACTTAGAGAGAGTTTGAGATTTGTGTTTGGTTGAAGTGTGTACTTTATTTCGATGTACTTCTTCAGAGAATGTGAATTATTATATGTATCCATTTGGTCATAACTGAATGTTACTTACTTTACCTCAATTAATCATTTTGTTCTACCACTTTGCTTTACATTTTTTTTTTTTTTTGAGATTTCCTAATTAAATTTTAGGTAATGCGAAATCTAAATGTGGCAAAATAGGTCGTCCCACCCTGCCTTGCCCAATATCTTGATATGGGTTGAAAATTCAAATATATCTCGATCTGTGGTGGTTTGGTGGGTCAAAAGGTGGCAAAATAGGTCGTCCCACCCTGCCTTGCCCAACATCTTGATATGGGTTGAAAATTCAAATCTATCTCGATCTGTGGTGGTTTGGTGGGTTAATCCGTTTAAAAAATAATTAAAAATAAAATATATTTTATTAATCTTATAATATTACTTATTTTTATTTCATGTTTTTTTCAATTCCAAGCTTAAATAAAATTATTTTTGTCTTTATATATGGATGATTTTTGTCATAAATAAAATTTTTCATCTTTATTGTTTTGAGTACTAAGATAAAAAAAAACTTATATTACAAAAGTTTAATAACAAATAAAATACTACTTAATAATAAATTAAAAAAAGTTGATCCACGGGCCAACTCGTCACAATCCACCGCCAATCCATTTTGACTTATAACAAAGTAGGGTGGGTTGTATTGTAGTGGGTTGAAATGTATAACTAAATCCACTTCATTTTAACGGGGTGACCCGTCAAATTTCACCCATGTTGTCACCTCTTGCGAAATCATTTTGTTCTCCAGGCATTTCATCGTTTATTTTTTGGGAAATTGTTTTTTTATTTTACACAGGGTTCGTTTTTTCTGCGGTTATTGCAGATAAGTTATCTGCAATAAGCTCAATACGACGTCGTTTTGGGGCAGAAATCATGGTATTTTTATAATTTTAATTTATTTCAGGGTTATAATAGTCTTTATATTTATAATTTTTTAAGATTTCTATACTAAAACGACGTCGCTTTGGGAATAAATGCAGATAAGTTATCTGCATTAACTTCAGAAACATTTTTCTCTTTTACATAAGATAACAAAAGTTTTCTATGTACACATCTAGAGGAGAGATGAGAGAGAATATAAGAAAGAAAATAAATAAATCGGTCTCATTTTTTTTTTTAGAGTTACCCTACCCTAATTATCTCTTTGAGACGAGTTGACTCCCTCCGGTATCCCCACGAGCTTCGACTCTTTGAGCCGGCTATGGGACTAATCCGGAGGTGCGAGGGAAGGCTAAAGGTTCAGCCTCCTCCCCAAGAATGCATTATCGGTCTCATTTTTTTATATGTGAATGTAGGAAAGTGTTTTTATCTTATATAACATAAGAAAACAATTTTCCTTATTTTTTTATATAAAATATTTACTAATTTAACGGGAGTGAAATGTGCTTGCCCATCTATGCTCGAGTTATGCAGCGATGCGCCAAAATGCGCATAGGGATTTCACATATTTGTATCCATTGAAAAGAAAGAAAAAGAATGAACCAAAAAATGCTACCATCGTCAATGTCCTCACATTCCAATTTCTTCTCCTCACTAAAACAGGTAATAACAATTCCAATTTCCCTCATAGTTCTTTGCCATTGTTTTAATTGGGTCTGAAATATGAATTTTTGATGTCCAGGTTGAAAAGAGGCTAAAGTTAGATCATACATCACCAACAGAATCTCAATCTCAAACAAAAGAAAGCAACTTTTTATGGAGAGGGTCTTCTTCCACTTTGGGCTCACCCATGTTCCTCAACATGGACCAACCCAGTGGCATTCAGAGTTCTAACACCCAAGATAGCAGTGAAGCTCCTCAAGCATTCCTATCCATTTCCCAAGAATTTTCACCAACCCATCAAGACCCTTCTCAAACTAGTCCTTCAGATTATCTTAGAACTGCAAATAAAGCTCAAGATGATGATGATGGTGATGACATTGAACGGTTAATGCAGCTCTTGGGCATATCAGAGGAACAAGTGGAACAAAGGGATGATGGTACTTTTGAGGATGGTGATGATGGTAATTCTTGTCACTGTGAAGGAGGGTTTTATTCAAAAATTGTTGGAGTGGAGGGGCCAAAGTGTAAGAAGGAGGTGCTGAGGTTAGATGGGTGGATCAAGCACTTTCTAAATGGTGGTGGGAAGGAGGAGAAGCAAGAGCCCTTAAGATTGGCACACCTGCTTTTAGGAAAAGCTGCTTTTATTTCTGAGGGTGCTGATAGTGGCTTTGGAGGCTTAGAGTTCCCTTCAACCATTCAAGAATTTCTTCATACTGATCCTCCCAGCAATTGAGGCAACCTAGTTGCTTTTTTTTTACTCTTTAGTTTTGTTGTTTTATTTTATGATATTCTTCTTTTAACTGTTATATGCAGATGCAGTTAATTTGTTGAAATTGCGTCATGTTGTCTTTCTATGTTGTCCATTTTTATATGAACAGCTGCACAATGACAAGTTCTATTAAGTAAAACAATCTTAAATCTGGAGCTAGAACTATTATTGCTATGATCTTTGAGTCAAGTTGTTCATCCTAAAATGATAAAGAAAATTCAGAGCACCATAACTTTGATCCATTGTCAGTTATCTTTTTAACTTTTTTAATTGGTCCCTAGGAGTTATGGACATTAAAAAAGTTTTGGGTATGTTATACCTTCTATTGGGGGATATGCATTTTATTATTCACAACTTAAAATTTCGCAAACTTATGACATTGATGGCTGTATGAACATAACAGATGACCTCTAAAATAGAAAACTTGGAGGTTCTTTCATGCTCCTGGGAATATTGAGCAATTAAACTTGGAAGTAACCTGTTGTTTATCATTCCATATTAACATCAATCTTCAATTATATGAGAGAGCAAATTCGATTGTATACTGAAAATGAGAAAAGGGTAGGGGATAGAGCAAGGGTAGGATGCAATTAAATGCATAATTTATGCTAAGAGGGCTAGTTTTTAAATGGATTGTGTAATTTTCAGCTCATAGTTTTGTTAGTTTGCCTTATTTCTTATAAGATTATGATTATATACTGTACGTTGTAATTTCCCTGGTTTCCACCATGCAATTTTGTAAATGAATATATAATTATATTTGCATTCAACCCAAGAATGGGGAGGGGGAGTGAAAAAGGAGGAGAATGCAGCAAGAGACAGCCAATGCTATATTACATGGATATCAGAAGGCTTTGCCTTTGTTAAAGACACTAGTAATGAAGCAATTGAGAAGCATTTATTTTTTCTTCTTTTGCAAAAGCATCTCCAAAGATTGATTGATGGTGTTTAACATTTAAAAAAGATAGTAGTGCTATGTTGCTGTTTCAAGCTTCATAAGAGCAGATAACACCACATTCATATTAGGTCGATCTTCAGGATCAGGAAGGGTGCAGCCCAAGGATAGCTTAAAGAGCTCTGCCAATACTTCCACATAGTTTTCTCTGACATTCCAGGTCAACATAGGGTCCACTATATTAACAAGCTGTTCCATTCCATTTGCAAGGGCTTTTGCCACTACTTCATGCAAACTGATTGGCAAGCCATCCTCTTCCGAGAGCCCTGTTGGTCTTCTTTTAGTTAGAAACTCCATTACTATGATACCAAAGCTGAATACATCTGCTTTAGTCGTTACTTTCCTCATGTAGGCAAATTCTGAGAATTACACAGGAAAATATTGTTTAGAGAGTGGAAATTATAAAAACCTGTGGATATACAAAGTTAATAGGCTAAGATAATTGGAAACAAGAAACAAAATTATATGAGTTTTTTTAGTAAAAACTTTGTAATAATAGGAAAACAGTTGACTATCTCTTTGGGCTTAAACTCAGTTCAATATTAGAGAATGAAAAATATATTTGCTATCCTTTGTCGCCCCTATCCAACTTGAATCCGAATTAGTCACTGTTCGATGACAGTAGGATACCGGATGATTTATATATATATACACTCAATCTTGATCATTGATCCACTTATATCTAATGGCTCACATTACTAAAAAATTAGAGCCCTTAGATATAAGTGGAATCAACGGACAAGATTGAGAGTGTAACTTATACTGGTGTAAAATGATCCTGACCCATATATATATAGATAGGGTTTATCATTTCTGCAGCCGCTATAGATAACACTTTCTACAGCTGACACAAAAAAATGGGCCCCACGGCATTTTAAAAAAAAAAAAAAAAAAGAATCCAGTGCCATATCCTAGGATCCGCACGCAGATCTTGACTAGATATAGGTGCAGCGGCTCCAGAAATTATTTTGCCTATATATATATTGTTGCTATCTAAGGGGATGGTCTTCTCCATGCTTCTGTGAATCTACTATCAAATGTTTCACCCTATTCCTTAATTACATGTCAATTAGTTGAAGTCACCAGTAGCAAAACCTGATGCAAGCTCTGCACAGTAACCCACATTAGGTGAAACTAAAGGAAATGATAATCAATGCATAGGATATGCCGAATATGCTAATGCAGTCACAACAAATCTGGTCCCCATGTGTGGTATGGTACAGTCAATTTATACTGATACAGTGCGAATCATGATCATTGCTTCTTTTCTCTTAATACTTTGAAAGGGATACGTGTGTGCCAAACGAGCCGGGGTTTTTAGCTCGGCTCGTGAAGGTTTGGGCTTTTATGTTTAAAATTGATTGTTGGAATTAGGCTAGGACTTCTATAAAAACTCGTTTAATAAAAAGGCCTTAGGCTCCAATTCAAAAGTTCGGCCTTAGAACCTCTCAAGCTGGCCTAATATATTAATTTTTATTTTTATTTTATATTTTTTATACTACTTGTGATAGCCCTCTCTCTCTCCTCAATCCATTTCATCCTATTTTATTAATTAAACAGACTTTTTAAATGATTTTATTTTATATTATGCTGTTTGGATATACATTAAATTTATGAATATTTATGGAATTACTAATGTTGTTAACTATATATTTTGTTTGGATAAATTTTTGTTGCCTTAATTTGTTTTAAACAGGCTAACAACTTAAACCAGACTTTTATTTTTTTGTAAATAAGACAGGTCACAGGCTGAAATTATATTCATAACAGATAACAGGCTTGGTCAGGCTGACACATTTAAACACAGGCTTAATCTTTTAAGACCAAAACTCGGCTCGGCTCGGCTTGTTAACACCCCTAATTGCAACTTATATAGCACTAATAGCTGTGGCGTGGATTATTTAACTTGTCATCGTATTCAATCAACAAATAAAAAGTTATGCACACGTGGTGATGCTATTTTCACTGAATAGAGACTCGCATGCATTGTATAAAACCAGCTAATAGAAAACTAACACAGTAATTCAGTTCTTGAACTCTTATGCTACTTTCGCTGATTTGAACATAATGTGCAGGACTCACTCACTATACAAGTCCGAGAACTAAATTATTCATTTAGATTATAATTCCACCATGAATCTAATTTTGATGAAAATATATTATCCATTAAATATAAGAGAGTAGTAATGTAGTAAAAGACTAATACCTGGCGCCAAATAGCCAACTGTTCCTTGCAAAGCTGAGGAAAGGGTACTACCATCCTGCAGATGAAGACCAAGTATTCGTGCTGTCCCAAAATCACTGACATGAGCTTCCCAGTCTCTATCTAAAAGGATGTTGGAAGGCTTTAAATCACAGTGTACAATGGGAAAATCATAACCAGAGTGCAAGTAATCCAATCCATTAGCAATAGAAATGAAAACTCGGAGTCTTTCAGATAATGTCCACCTTGATTGATCCCCCCCTTTGTCATGTATAATGCTATCCAAATTCCCATTCTCCATGTACTCTAGAACCAAAGCCTTCATTTTCCCAGTCTCCCAAGCATATCCAAGTACCTTAACCAAATTCCTATGTCTCAGCTGGCTCAAGGTGCTGGCTTCTGTCTTGAAGATCTTGTCAACATTTGCAGACAATTGGTGTAAATTCAATCTTTTTATGGCTACAATGTTGCCATCTTCCAATTGACCCTTGAAAACTGTGCTCAAACTACTTGCACCAATGATCTTGTCTGCACTGAAAAATCCAGTGGCATTTTCTAACTCCTTTGGATTGAATCTTTTAAGAGCCAATGCTGAACTGTACTCAGGTTCATAATTCTCACTATTATCACTTTGTTTAGAATTGCAGAGTTTGCGACCTCCACTGAGAATTAAAATCACAAGCACCAGAAGTAGAATTATAGCAAGAGATCCAAGCGCAGCAATGATAGATATACTCTTCTTGGATAGTGAATGATGATTAGTCTCTCTACATGGTTGTAGGAATTTTGTTCCACAAAGAGCCTGGTTACCCATCATGCTAGATGCATTGATGCGTGCAAATATTCCAGTCAAAGGTACACGACCTTCAAGTTGATTGAAAGAAAGGTTGAGATGCATTAGGCTTGAAAGATTGGCAAAGCTCTCAGGAATAGTTCCCTTCAAGTTATTCTGAGAAAGATCTAGAGAACTAAGATGCTCAAGCTCTGCCAAGATTTCAGGGATTTCACCTTCTAAATGATTTCTTGAAAGGTTTAAGCTTTGAAGCAAGTCCATGTGACTAAAAGCTTCTGTAGGAATAGGACCTGAAATATTGTTTCCTGAGAAATCAATACTGAGCAGGTTTCTGCACCCAGAAAGTGTCTTGGGAATGAAACCTGAAAGATTATTGTTTGAAATATCAATGGCTTGTATCATTTCCAACATGCCCAGCTCAGTTGGAACACTTCCAACCAAGTGGTTGTAAGAAAGGTTAAGATACAACTGCATGTCTTTGAAGTGTGCAATGACATCTCCTGGAATTGATCCAGTGAGGTGGTTGTAAGAGAGATCCAAAACTAAAAGCTGCTTTAGCTGCCCCATGCTTCTTGGAATAGACCCATTAAGTATGTTGCCATGGAGGTCTAAGTACGAAAGCATCTCAAGCTTTGAGATAGAATCTGGTATTTGACCAACTAACTTGTTTTGATGCAGTGCAAGCGTAGTTAATCGTTTTAATTCAGAGAGTTTATCAGGTATTGTTCCTTCTAATACATTATCATGAAGGTATAGCCCCTGAAGGAGAGAAAGTTTGGACAGTTCTGGCGGAATTTGACCCGAAAAACTATTATCAGAAAGGGACAAAGTGATGAGTTGATCCAAGTTTCCAATCTCTGGTGGAATTGGTCCTATGAAAGAATTAACATTCAGCTGCAGACGCAAGAGATTGAACAGGTTCTTGATACCAGATTTTATCAATCCACTAAAGTTGTTCTCTGCCAAACTTAGAGTACTAAGATTTGAGCAGTTGAAGAGGTCATCAGGGATTTCCCCAGACATTTTGTTGGATGCAAGAGACAGGAAAGTAAGATTAGGCAACCTTGAAAAACCCTCAGGAACTTTCCCAGTTAAAGCATTAAAAGATAAACTTACATTTACCAGACTAGTACAATTTGTAATACTAGGTGGAATTGGTCCATGAAAGAGGTTGGAGTTCAATACAAGAAACTTCAAATTATGAAGCACACCCAAGTTTGAAGGAAGTTCACCTGAAAGGAGATTCTGGCTCATTGACAGATATGTCAAGTTTGTCAAGTTTGTTACTGATGAAGGGATCTTCCCAGTAAACTTATTTAAATGAAGAGTTACAACTTGTAAGGACCTCAAAGATCCAAGCTCAGAAGATATTGTTCCCTCTAAGTAATTCTGTGAGAGTTCTAAATGTGTTAATGATTTCAAGTTGAATATGGAAGATGGAATGGTGGAATTTAAGTTATTCCCATATAACCTAAATGTCTCCAATTGAACTAAATTTCCTAGCTCAGGAGGAATACTTCCACTGAACTGATTATCATATAACTCTAGATTTAAAAGTTTCTTACACTGGCCAAGCTCAGAAGGGATTTTCCCAGTCAAGGAATTTTGGAACAACAATAGTAATTCTAAATTGGTCAGATTTCCAATCTCTCTAGGTATTACACCTGATAACTGGTTTTGGCTAAAATCAAGAGACTGCAAAGCTCCCAACTGACCTATGGAAAGAGGTATAGACCCAACAAGGTTATTCTCAAACCCTACAATCTGTATAAGGTTAACTAGATTCCCTATGTTTGATGGGATTGTGCCAGTGAGGTTGTTAGAATTGAAAGCAATACCCAACAAAGAAGTGCAGTTGAATATCCTATCAGGGAGGCTTCCATTCAAGTAGTTATTACCTAAATCCAAATACTGAAGGCTTTTGAGGTTTCCTAATTCAGGAGGGATTGGTCCTGAGAGAGAATTTTCAACAAGAATTAGCTGAGAAAGTTGAATGCAAAGACCAAGCTGAGAAGGAATGTACCCAGAAAATGAGTTTGAAGTCAAATCAAGAACCTGAAGGCCTGAAATGTTTCCAAGGAATGGTGTAATCTCACCTTGGAGCTGAAAACCAACAAGAGAAATTGAAATAACATGATTTGAAGATGGGCCACATGCAATGCCAGACCAGTTGCAGTGATGGTGGGTGTCAACCCAATTTGCAAGTGTTCCATTTGGGTCATGGGTGATGGAGTTCTTGAAAGCTTTCAAAGCTTCAATTTCAACTTCAAAGCTTGTTTCTGCGTTTGAAACTGTGGCTACAACTGAAAGGACTATGACTATAGTCAAACTAAACTTTGGAGATAACATCATTGTGGAATATAGTGTAGAATATTAAGTTGCAGTTTGGTGATATAATAGCTGATGTAAATGAAGCCTTTATAGATAATGTTCATTCGTTCATTGGTGAAATCTCAAAAAGCACAACCCCGTCTGTGACAGAGTGTGTTCACATGACATGATGGAAAGTCAAATCCTTAGCAGATAATAATCATGTGACTTAGGACGAAAACAGTGATTCTTTGAACAATGATTGAATATCTTAAATTTGATTCGAAGTCATCCTTCGGTTAATCAAAAGGGTTGCATCTTCTACTGATTGAGACTTTACATATTAAGACACGCCAAAAAATGGGTGTATCCACAAAGGCAAAAGCTTTAGGTAGACATGGCTAATCCATAGAATTGAAAAACAAAAACTCAAACTACATTTTCCATTTAAGTACCTAGCAGAAACCAATTTACAATGCAGGCAAAATCACTTCTCATATTGCAATATGAAAAATGTAGAAGACATAGTTATAATTTTAAAAATTGTTTTTTTTCTCCTCGTAACGCTCACGTAGACGGTAGAGAAAAAATAACTTTAATATTACAACTATGTTTTACTGTAAAACATAGTTGTAATTGGTGACATAAAAAATCACTTCCCGTTAAACCCGACTAGCGAGTGTGGGGGAGGAAATCCTTGTATGCAGTCTTACCCTTGCATAATTGCTTAGAGACTGTTTCGTGGATTAACTTTCATTCATGAAGGAACAGTTTTACCATTGTTCGCCCCCTTTTTTGCAGTAATTGGTGACATAAAAGAAATTTTTTTTGCAGTAACATAGGACCCTAAAATGTAACCCTAAAATGTAACATCAACTTAACATTACTGTAATATTTTCCTTATTTGTTTCCGAGATTAGACAACGGCAGAGCGAGAAAATTTCATAAGAGGGAACAGGAAATTCAAAATTCATAGAGAACACAACAATGGGTCAATATGTAGTTAAGGGAATTCTTAATTTTTTTTATACACGAGAAATAATAATTATAAAAGGGACAAATTTATATTACTCTACTTTTTTATAAGTCTGAACGTAATCTAAGATATAAGTTTAATGAATTTAAGGGGGTCGTTTCCTCGAACTCGTAACATTAATATCATATTAATTGATGCAAAAGGATGATGAATTCAAATAATGAAAAAAATAATAATAAAAAAGAGAAATAAATCATTCATTTATTTATTTTTCACATTTTAAACCAGTTTAAAATATGAGAACTAAAAAATTAAAATCTAATCGTCCAGAAGTCCTCCTGTACTAGTTGTATGGATGCCAGAGAAATTAGTTGGAATTTTGTTGAGTTGAGTCCACGGCTTTTGTCTTTTTTTTTTAGTTCTTAGCCGAAACCAGTTTAGCATTAGAAAATAAGAATACAAAATATAAATGAGTTATATTACTCTCATGTTGAATGAGATAATATAATTTTCTACACACTCATTAATTTCTGCGCTTTTTTTTTAATAAATAACGAGACTCAGTACATAATTGTATTTATAACATGAGATGAGATGATATATCTCCTATTACATAAGAGTAATATAACCCAATATAAGTTAATGCGTGGATGACAAGGTTACGAATTATAAAAAAGCGGAACCAAAACGCGGTTTGCGGAAAGCTGCGTGCGAAGAAAATAAGTTTGTAATAGATAATGGCATGCAAGTTGCGCAAAATAATAGCCGAAAAGATTTCAGCTGTGAAGCTTTCGATTGGAGTGCAACATGTGAGTCCACAAGCGAGAGAACCCATATCGAAAATAATTAGTGGGAATGGGAAGGTAGCACTACTTGTACGATATGACAGCAATAGGATTGATGCCATTTGTTAAGTGACATACATGACATCTCCCGTGATCGAAATCGTTTTTGGAATAGAAAGAAAAAAACAGAATTTGGATTAAATGTTATAAATTCATAAAGATAATATCGTATTATTATAACGGCTTTAATATTTTTACAGTAGTGAATGTAGATAAGTTATTTACATTCGTCTCCAAAATGATATCATTTTGGATTAAAAAAATTAAAAAACTATAATGAAAAAAAATTATTATAACTCTGAAATAAATTATAATTATAAAAATATCTTGATTTCTGCCTCTTATTTTGGGCTCAATGTAGATAAATATCTACATAGACTGTAGAAAAAATGAACCTTATTATAATATCAAAACAAATTCTTATAAATATAATGTTATAATTTATAATGGAATATGACATTATATTTATTTATTTTTCATGCCTATTCTACTTATTCCTTTATAATATTATTAGATCAAAATTTAAAAGGAGAGAGAAATGGTGGATTCTAATCTAACAGTATTAGATATGAATATATAAAATAGACATTAAAAAGATATGCATGATATCCTATCACATTTCTAATTATTAAAAAAATAAAATAGTTTTAATGGTTAAGATTCGTGGAAGAGTTTTAAAAAACTGTAGAGAATGTTGATCCCATGTTTTGATTCTATGTGAATATGCTATAATTATTGATGTTATCATATGTTTTGAATCCCTACCCGGCCTATTTGTTTTATGATATATTGATTCATAATAATTTACACGTATTTTATTATTTATTTCATAACTTTTTTTTTTATCAATGTTGGTTAAAAGTTAAAAGAAAAAAATATGAAGATAATATTGTATTATTTTAAGTGAGACGACAATATTTTGATATATATTTATTGATTTTTTATTTTTTTTCTTCCATAGTATTTTTTTCTCTCTCCTTCTAATTTAGCAAAGGAAAGAGAAAGTAAAAGGTAAACAAATATAAATACGGTCGTTTTATTTAAAATGACATAAAATTGTATCCTTTAAAATGACAAATATTTTATCCAAAAGTTAAATTATTAACCCATTTCAAAGTTTTCAATATAGTGTTCATTTGGATGTGTTTTTCTTAAATAAAGATTATTATATTTTAATACGTGTGATGCTTTTTTTAAGTTAACTTCTAAAATAATTTTTTTTTGTTTACAATGCATAAAAGCAATTTGAACACCAAAAAAGTGATTTTCAAATTTTACATCTATATGAACAAATGATTTTTTTAAAACTTTTAAAAAAAAAGATGTTTTTCAACATTTTTAAAGGGGAATTAAAAATGATAGTGTGAAAAACCGAACCCAGCCATATGCTTACAGTCCCATAATAATGATCACATAAATATTAATTACCCACGTGAGCACGTGCAGCACTACAAGAAAAGTCATTGTCAGTTATGAACTTTTATACTGCTATAATTCCGTGAGAAATATCTACGCATTTATCAAGATTGAAATAAGGATGGGTTTACTAACGAAATATTCCATCAAATAATTTTGCGTGTGTAAGTTAATTAGGGGTGCTAAACGAACCAGGAGTCTTTAATCCGGCTCGTGAAGACATGTGTTTATATGTCTAATATTGATTGTTGGAATCAGATTTGAATTTGTATAAAAGCTAGTTTAATAAAAAGGCCAATGACTCAAATTCAAAAAAAAACTTGGCCTTAAAGCTGATCTAATATAATAAGTTTTATTTTTATTTTATATTTTTTATATTGTTCATAATAGTTCTTTCTCTGCTCAACCCATTTCACTTCATTTTATTAGTTAAATATACTTTTTGAATGATTTTGTTTTATACTATGTTGTTTGGATATATATTGAATATATGAATCTTTATGGAATTATTAGTGCTATTGATCGTATATTTTGTTTAGATAAATTTTTGTTCTTATTTTTTTAACAAACTAAATTAAACTTTTATTTTTTTATAAATAAGCTAAGCCACTTGCCAATAACATCTAGGTCAGACTGATATATTTAACTAGATCAAAATCTGTCCCGCCTCGTCCTGTTAATACCATAAAGTTAATGGGAAAACCATTTAGTCAACACACACAATTTTAATAAAGTGAGTTTCGACTAACTTCTGTCATCCTATAATGCTGGTCAACACCGATAACACCCTCGATTGGTTTCACCCAACATACCCTAATTCCCTACATTGATTCCATCGTGTCTCTTATTCATTGTGGTGTTGGATATTAAAGCCACTGGAGTTTGTGGAGGTTTAGAAAATTTATCTCGTGAAGTTTGGGATTGACATTGGAGTTCTTTGATTTCGTGAGGACATTTACATCCTAATTTTGGACCTCCATTGCTTTAGTTTTGGTTCAAATTTAGAACATAAGGTTTGGAATTTTCAATTTAGGGTTTGACTTGCTGGTCATCCACATGTTTTTTCCTTCTGTTTTGGAGGGACAATGACGACCGAAAGAAGGCGGTGAAATATAACAAAAAGAACAAAGTTCACTTACGATGGACCATTGGATATTGGGGACTTAATTCCTGTAATTGAGCATAAAAAGCGATTGGTAAGTGAAAATATCGGATGTAGCTAATTATGTCAATCTATGTGTTTTCTTTATGCTTAGATAATGATAGCCTTAATGTGTCTTATTTGTTTATGCAGCGAGATGAAGGGGACAACGACCCAATTTCAATGGCTTGAGAGGTTTACAAAGAGAGAGACACGTTTAAAGGAGATGAGCACAATTAAATTGTAACGCCCGAGCGCTTTAAAAATCAATTACTATCCCCACACACTAACACAGAACTATAGATGCATCTTGTTATAGATAGTACTAATTAATTTTTATAAGTTATTCCCAATTGTATCGTTCCATACCAGCACAGCCTTTAGAATTCCTCTGCCCGCCCTTGGGATGTTACATGCCCACCAGCTTCCACCTGGTTCGTCCTCGAACCACACCATACTGGAAGAGAGGCATTGCTCTGATACCACTTGTAACGCCCAGCCACTTTAAGTATCAATTACTATCTCCACACACTATCACGAGACTTTTCATCGTGCTTTATTCTCACTCACACACTTCCTGGAAAAATTTCTCATGAGGTCACCCATCCTAGAATGGCTCCAAGTCAAGCACGCTTAACTATGGAGTTCTTCCGTTATAGGC